AAGAGTTGTATGAGCCCCTAAAAAATGATTTGAAAAAAAAAAAAAAGAGTACCTTCCATGGGCTACCTTAAATGCTATCCTGGTGGGCCTGGGGAAGAGTGGACCACGGGATTCTTTGTCCAGTTCTTCAACAACATCTTGTTCTGGCTATGAAAGTTGCAGGTCACTGGGAAGATGACATGATGTTACAGACAGAGGCTAGAGAACGGCTGAAGTACAGGAGAGCTGGTCCAGGGACGTGGATAGCGGCTGTATAGAACACTGTTACTTTGTAGAACATTACGTAGTGACCATGCTCTGACCTTACAGAACTCTCACATAATGAATGAGTGCTATTAACATGTTCTAAGGTTTTGATACACTGTGAAACAGTGTCAAAAACTTAAGTTACCATTCTTGTCTAAGAAATAATACATTTAAAAAAAAAGAAATAATACATTTTATAAAAGTCAGTTCACACTTTCACACCTAGAATGAATCACCCACCACTTTTCTTTAGTTTTCTTAGATTTGTCAGTGAACAGAGACAGCAAACATCAGTTTTAAAACTAAGGTTTGTATACAGGCACAACTCACCTGTGTATCCATATATCGCAGCTTCAAAACAAACATAAGTGCTTAATGATGCTTCTAATGATCATCCTGTAGCCCATAGTTTATTAGAGCACTTCTCCTGTGTTTCTTTGAAATTCCTCTCCGAATAGGCCGGACCCTAACTAATGCTCATCAAATTTTGCTTTCTTCTATTCATCAAATACAGTAAGAATACTTCTAAACAACTGGAAATTATACAATCAGAATTAGTTCCATGTAAAAAATATTTGAAATATTTTTCTCTTGAGATGTATCCACAAATTGTTATCAAATCACTCAGTTCAATGACATTCTTACCCGTTCTTAACCTGTTTGATATGTCATTACTTTATATATAATAATCCATTTGTTACATTCTGCATTCATTTTGAGTTCCACCAATCTCCTCATGATTATTTACAACCCACCTCAAGTAAACATCGCTCTGAGGATCTCCGTTTCTCTCCAGAGATAAGCACTGCCATGGGGTCAGTTCCCATGCCTCTAGGCCAGAGCTGTTGAAGATGCAGAGAGCCCTCGAAAGAGGACAGTTTATTCCCTCACAAAATCCTTCATTTTATCTTTGTTTATCGATCTTTTCTCTCTTGACTGCTGGCAATAACAGTTCTGTTTTCAATTTCTTCATTTTTGTTTCTGCAGAAAATGATAAAAAACAATCATAGAAAACACCCAGTCTGGCTTCAGTCACTTACAAAATTTTACCCATGTTGAGTTGGTAACCTTATTTTTTCAACTTATGAAAGGTATTCCACTATATGAGTATATCTATTCATCTGTTAAAGAACATCTGTATGAGCTTTAGTTTGAGGAAATTATTAGTAAATATGTTACATTCATTAGCATAGAGATATTTATATGCATGTAAGTTTTCATTACTGAGGAGCCAAATATTTAAGGGATCATTTATTGGGCTCTATTTTTATGTATATATAACATTATAAGAAATTAATCAGTGCCTTCAAAAGCAGCTGTGCCATTTTAATCTCATCAGTAATGGTGGAACTTTTCTTACAGAAGTTCTTCAATCCTTGATATTATTATTATATAAAAATTGTGGTCATTGTTGTTGCTTAGAAAAATAAAAAGTAAATCTATTAGAACAAATATACATAACTCAAGCACACTCATGCATAATTGATAAATTAACTCACTCCCATTGGTTTAATTTGGACTCATAGGCAACTTGGAAGACAGAACAGAATTGCCTGAAGGAATTTTCTAAGCTGTAAGAAAATTTCATCATTCTGGTGTGGATTGACTGTTAGCTTCCCACTACAGACCTTGTGGGTAGCAGTCCAATAACACAGAATGCCACAGGGTGTATATATATATTCTAAATCTAATAATTAAGCCATGAAATATGTATATGTGT